CGGGAGAAGCAATAACCTCCCTCTGTTCTACTGGCTGGGGGAGTCTGTCCGTGCCCTAAGGGGGTGCAGGAGACGGGAAACCCCAACGCGCCGCCACACTCGCCAGAATGAAGACCGGCCTGAAGCTAAAACTGGAGGAACACGCAGGGCCTGCTTTGTCCCCTTGCTCGTGTGGAGGGATCCCAGGCTCCTTCTGGCCCAAGACAGCGTGTCCCGGGAGCAGGCCACCGCTCCATGCCTGGCCCAGCCCTTGTTGGGCAGCAGCCCTTGCTCACGTGGGCTCTGAGCACCCTCGGCCATGCTCTTCAGGGGTGGATTGGCACCATCGCGTGACTTAGCAGCCCTTTCCCAATAAGCTGGCCGAGCCTGTGGCTGTCACCCAGAAGCAATCCTGTGGAATAGGAGCCCGTCGGATACCTGGGCGTGAGCAACAACCGCCCAGCACTCCTCAGCGTTGCACAGACCTCGGCCCACGTTGGCTGAGCTGCGGGGCGCAGAGAGCGGCAGCTGCACCCGCGTTTTGTGCGTTTCTCTGACAAGCCAGCAACACGCCGGGGGGCCCCCGTGTGTCTGAACACAGAGACATGCCCCAGCCGCTCCCTCCGTCTCAAACTCTCCACCACTCAGCCGTGGCCCGCGGCTCCCCCCCCCCCGATGAATGCGGCAGCACATTCAGCAACACGGGCTCACAGGTGCCCCTCACCCGCCCCATTGGCCGGTCTGGGGCAATCGTCCCGCCGGGCCCAGGGCAGCCCAGGGGGAGGGGAGTCTGGCACCAGGCTCAGGCCCACTCCCACACTTGCCAGCAGACACAGGACACGGGGTGAGCCTGCTCCGCTCTCCCAGCCGCGGGGGCAGCGTGGAACCAGCCCTGCATGTCCCAGCAGCAGGAAGTGGAGCAGCATGGCTGGGGCCAGGTCACTCTGCTTCCCACTGCTGCTGCTGAGTGCAGGGGAGGCCCAGCCCTTTCTGCTGGCTCCAGGCCCCCTGCTGACCCCTCAGGCTGCACCCTTCGAGGGGAGGGGCGGAGCGGAGGGCGTGACGGAGGAGGCCTGGCAAGGGCAGAGCCTGGGACGGGTTTCCCTGCCCCCTGCTTGTCCTCCCCGCCCTATGTTGGCTTCCCATAGGAAACAGAGTTGAGCTGAAGATCTCGGTCCAGCCGGACAAGTTTGTTGAAGGGCCTGGGGGCGGGACAGCTCAGGGAGCCAAAGGACGAGCGAGCTCAAGTCCCAGGCTGTGGGCAGAACGCCCCCCGGGGAGCCCCCCCAGTCTGCTCCAAGGGCCTGGCTCCCCTCTCAGCACGGCCCCAGCGTTCTGGTCCCCAAAGCCCTACCCGATTTCCTGCTAGGACTGAAAGGGGGAGGCGCAGGCCACGGTCGACAGCCGCAGGCACTGTCCAGCCCAGCTGTGGGCGCAGGGCATGGCACGCCAAAGCAGTGAACCGCCGGAGCTGAGAGATGAGGGTTGAAAGGCTGGACCTGAGCCTCCGCCAATCACATATGCGCACGGCGCAGCCCGAAGCCCTGCCCCTGCCCTCCCCGGTGGGCACGCCGTTTGCGCTCTGCCCTGGCACCCCCTGCTTCTGCGACTGGGCAGAGCAGGGCCTGGAGGCAGGGCTGAGGTCAGTCCCGACTGTGCCGGTGCCAGCCACAGAATGTGCTTCCCCCGCAGGCGTGGAGTGCGTGGTCTTCAACGACGAGTACCTGACCTGCGTGTGGGGCAGCAGAGCTACACTGACAGCCAACTACTCCCTCTACTACTGGTACACGCTGCCCAGGTAGGCAGCTCCTCGCTGGCCTGGCCAGTAGCCCGCCTGCAGCCAGTGCAATGGGTAGGGGCTCCCAGGGGCACCCAAGGGACCTGGGTAGACCCTCTGGGGCAGACTTTGGGCCCTGGCAGCCGGGACAGCTCCCTGCTCCCAGCAGGGCTGGAGTGGCTCTGTCTGGCAGCCCCGTGGCACTAGACCTCAGGCGGGAGCGTCTGCGATGGGGCCTGCAGGCACGAGGACAAGCTGCGGGCCGAGAGGAGCAGAGAGCAGAGCCCTGCAGACCCCTGATCCCAGCAGGCAATTCTTGGGTTCTTTGCAGGCAGGGTCCCCAAGAGCCAGCCTCTGAGGCTCCCATCTGGACTCGGGCAGGGAGCCAGGGCACAGGCAGAGCCCAGCCCCTCGGGCCAGCCTGGCGCATGTGCTGGGGCTGTGCCCTCCCTGCCTGGTCTGGGGGTCCTGCTGCTGGCAGCACCCATTGGGGAATGGGCATCTCTCTCGGGACTTTGTCTGTGGTGGGGAGAGCTTGGGGCACACCCTGGAATGGCTGGGGAGTTCGTGCCAGCCCAGGCTCTAGTCTGGGGGACTGAGCATCGCTGCCCCTGGCAGAGCCCTGAGGGGGGTGCTGGGGGCTCGAGTGCCCAGCAGTCACGCCAGGAGCAGCACTGAGGGCGCCCCCAGAGCCTGGCCTTGGGGCTGATTGTCGAGCTCCTGCCGTAGGCCTGGAAACCAGTCGTCAGCAGTGGAGTGCAAGCGCTACCTCCAGGAGCAGGGCCTCAACACCGGCTGCTGGTTCGCCCGCAGCGAGATCCTGCAGTTCCGCAGCTTCCACATCCACGTCAACGCCAGCCAGCAGGGCTCCCAGCTCGTCATCCCCAGCAGCGCCATGAAGCTGCAGGACCTAGGTAGGGGATCAGCCCGGGGGCGGCGGTGCACCGGGGGCTCTGGCCACGCGCCCCCGGGGGCGGCGGTGCACCGGGGGCT